TTACTGTCAATCCAGGAATCATCTAATGCTCCAAGATGATGTATTGTACAAATTAATGGAATAAGGCAGGAAAGATTTCCTATAATGTGCTTTACAACAACAAAGCTGTCTAAATCTTTTAGAGAAGGAGCTCCGCTGTCTATCAAGCACAAATCGGAGAGGATGGTGAGAGTTATCCATAATTTATAACAGCTTGTTTAGTGTCCTCCTCTCCATCACTGCCTCAAATGATTCTTGTTCACAGCCAATGACAGAGCCAGCCCTCCTAATTAGCTTATTGAATCTATTGGAGTCCCTGGTTGCAATACTACTCCCCCAGCAAACCACTGAAGAGAACAAGGCACTAGCAACGACAGACTGATAGAACATTTCCAGCATCTTGCTGCACACACTGAAGGACCTCAGCTTCCTCAAAAAATAGAGTCTGCTGCAGGCCTTTTTATACACAGATGTGCTGTTTGTCTTCCAGTTCAGACAGTTGTCGATAGTCACACCCAAGTATTTGTACTCCTGCACCATCTCCACATCCCTCCCCAAAATGGAGAGGGGCTGTGGAGCAGTTCCCTTCCTCCTGAAGTCGATTACCATCTCTTTGGTCTTGTCCAGGTTAAGCAGCAAATGATTCTGTCCAGACCACTCCACAAACTCATCCACCAGCCTCCTGTATTCCCCCTCCTGCCCACCCCTTAAACACCCCACCACCACAGAGTCATCGGAATACTTCTGTAAATGACATGACTCCGAGCTATACTGAAAATCTGAGGTATACGGGGTGAACAAGAAAGGGGAGAGCACAGTACCCTGTGGAGCCCCCACACCACTCACCACCACATCAGACAGAACTTGACCCAACCAAGGTCCCCGGTGGAGCCCCCACACCACTCACCACCACATCAGACAGAACATGACCCAACCGTACAAACTGTGGCCTGTCTGTCGGGTAGTCAGTGACCCAAGAAACAGTCGACCCACCCACACCCATCTGCCGCAGCTTCTCTCCCAATAGTGGAGGCTGGATGGTGTTAAAGGCACTTGAGAAATCAAAAAAAGTGACTCTCACTGTGCCCTCGTCACCATCCAGATGTGACACAACTCACTGCAGCAGGTAAAGAACAGCGTCATCAACCCCCAAATGTGGCCGGTAGGCAAACTGCAGGGGCTCAAGAGCCGATCTCACTACCGAAACCAAACAAGAAGTCTTCCA